GTCATTGCCGGTCGCAAGACGGGCGGCAAGATCGAAGGCAGCATTCTTTTGAACGGGTACCCGGCCACCGACCTTGCGATCCGCCGGTCGACCGGCTACTGCGAGCAGATGGACATCCACTCGGAAGCAGCAACGTTCCGCGAGGCGTTCCAGTTTAGCGCGATGCTGCGGCAGTCGGACGAGATTCCCGAGGCGGACAAGTTGGCATTTGCTGAAGAATGTCTCGAGCTTCTCGACATGAAGCACCTCGGTGACAAGATCATCCGCGGCGCGTCGGTCGAGCAGATGAAGCGCTTGACGATCGGTGTCGAGCTCGCGGCCGCGCCGTCTGTGCTCTTCCTCGATGAACCAACGTCCGGCCTTGATGCGCGCTCGGCCAAGATCATCATGACCGGCATCCGCAAGATTGCCTCAACAGGTCGCACGGTCGTCTGCACGATCCACCAGCCATCGGCCGAGGTGTTCGAGATGTTTGACTCGCTCCTCCTCCTCAAGCGCGGCGGCGAGACCGTCTTCTTTGGCGACCTCGGCGCGAAAGCGAGCCATTTGATCGAGTACTTCCAGGCGATTCCCGACACGCCAGCCCTTTCCGACGAGGCCAACCCCGCGACGTGGATGCTCGAGGTCATTGGCGCTGGCGTTGAGAGCAAGAACGCCCACCCGAAGGACTATGTGCAGATCTTCAACGCGTCCGAAGAGCGCCGGAACCTCACTGCGTCGCTTGCGATTCACGCCAACGTCCACCCGTCGTTGCCCGAGCTGACGTTTGCCAACAAGCGCGCCGCGTCCTCGTCGACCCAATTCAAGATGGTGACGCAGCGCTTCTTCCGCGTGTACTGGCGCACGCCGTCGTACTGCAACACGCGCATCTTCATCTCGATCTTCCTCGCGGTGCTCTTTGGCCTCGTCTTCCGCGTCGTCGACTTTACGACCTTCTCGGGTGCCACCGGCGGCGTCGGCATGATCTTCCTCACGTCCATCTTTGTCGGGTTGATCTCGTTCAACAGCGTGATTCCGCTCGCTGGCGAAGAGCGCGCGTCGTTCTACCGCGAGCGCGCCGCGCAGACGTACAATTCGCTGTGGTACTTTGTCGGCGCGACGCTCGTTGAGATCCCGTACTCGATTGTCTCGACGTTCGTTTTCACGGCCATTTACTACCCGTTTGTGGGTCTGAACGAGTCGGTGGGCGCGTGTGTCTACTACGGCTTCAACCTCACGCTCATGGTCTTGATGAACGTCTACATGGGCCAGATGATGGCGTACGCGATGCCGTCGATTGAGGTCGCCACGCTCGCCGGCATCCTCCTCAACTCGATCTTCTTCCTCTTCATGGGTGTCACGCCGATCGCGTCCGAGATCCCGAGTGGTTACCGCTGGCTCTACACGATCGTGCCGCCAAAGTACTCGGTGGCGATTCTGACGTCGCAGACACTGGCGAAATGCACGGGCGACAAGACACAACTCGGGTGCCAGACGCTCAAGAACGTGCCGCCGAGTTTGCTCCAGCAAATGAATGCGACCAGCATCACCGTCAAGGAGTTCATCGAGTTTACGTACGAAATGTACTACGACGACGCGCTCATGGACATCCTTGTCGTCGTTGGCTGCATCTTCTTTTTCCGACTCCTCGCGTTGCTCGCGCTCCGGTACATCAACCACACCAAGCGGTAAAGAAGTACTCCTAGGCACTGCCAGGAAGTTGAATATCGTTTTTCTAAATTTGAATACCTTGCATCTACTCTGCACGATTTGTCCATGTTGACCCTTCAACGAAGTCTGTACTGAGGACGTTGGGAACGCGCCCGAGATTAATGTCGCTAGAGTCCAGCATATCCAGAGCCGATGGTGCCTTACGACGCCTTGCCGACGAGCGCTAGCACACGACAGGGAGCATACGATTGAGCAGCCAACATGATACAAAGCAGTCGCAGGCGCTAAGTTCTTAGTACTGTAAAATTGTACAGTCAAGTGTGTTGGATCCACAGCAAAAGCGACTTTAATGGACGCCACAACATAGTACTACTGTAACGACTGACCGCGGTAACCGCCATCCAAGACGGACAACTGCTGTCAAGATCGGTTCGCGTGTCCGCAGGTGAGCCATGGACACGACAGCTCAAGGCCACCACCGGTTACTCGGTTGGTTGTTAGCTCGGCGGCTAGCGCCGAAGTCTAAGCGAGCTCGCGCTTCTCCTCGCGAGCTCTTGTAATTCACTTTTGGACTTGCCTCATAGTTCGTATCTACTCTCTAAGCCTCCAGTGTGTCCTTACAACAAGGTTCGATCCGTCGCATCACGAAACCACCAAATCACAATTGTTTTCGAAAAATAATGATTGCAGCCGACAACAGCAAGGACGCAGATACATGTGTATTGTTTGTGCTGTGGCGCAGTAGTCATTTAGGAGTCCACCAGGAAATACCACGAATGAGCGGCTGTAAACGAGCAATCGAACGCCGTTTCGTAGCTACTGGGTGAGGTTATTTTGCACTGGTGTCGTGGACGTTGCAGCATTGTCTATTGTTATCACAATGCGGTTTCGCAGGCTCACACTCGAATCGCTTGGTACGCCGCCGATGCCCCACAGCGCGCTGCACACCGCTACTAGTACGCTGGGCGCCTCGTGGTTCTCCAGTGGCACCCGCGCCTACGCCACGCCGTCCACCGACGCAAAGAAGCGCGCCTCGTTCAAAGTCTGGTCACGGCTCCTCGCTAACCTCACGGCCTACATCTCAGTCTCGTTCTCGTTGTCGACAAGCTTCGTCGCGATAGGTGCTGGCGCATTGAACCGACGGCTCCTCTTCTATAGCGCGGCGAACGACGTCTATCGCCCGCTCTCGCAGACGTGTCGTCTGACGTCGAGTGGGTTTGCCCCCAACTCGTGCTCGCGTGACGAGTGGAGCTTACTTGCGACGCCCGCTGCGTGGATCGCAACCGGCAACCAGCTCGCACACCTCCTTGATGTCCCGCCGGCATCAACGCTCTACGTCACAACGTGCGTCGTCGGCTGCAATGACAAGTCCTCTGCGTCGGTCCAGCTGCTCATGGGCTACAACAGCTATCCAGAATGCAACCCAAAACACGGAGGTCAGCCCATCGCTGGTCTTGTTCTCCTCGAAGGCGCTACTGTCGACGAAGTCTACCCCCAAGGCGCGTACCTTTTGACGGTTTTTGCAGACGCGTCAATGAACCAAACGACCATGTTTGTCGACAGCGACGACATTGAAACGCGTGTCGTTGACGACGTCGCGCGTGTCCTCGTCGGTGTCGATGGGAGCTCGCAGTCGTATGCGGATGGTGCCAACGCCATTTTGCGCTCGACACCGCTCGGTGCGCACTACGGTATCGAAGCGTCGTGCACGGCACAGATCGTCGACGTATCAACAAAGGTGCAAGGCCAGCCAGGCTGGTGCTATGGTGAGTATTCGAAAATTGCTGTCGTCACGGGCAAGGCGTGTGGACATTCGGTCGCGAATGCGTTGGAGATTGAGTTGCTGCACTTGATCTTGGTGGCGGTGACGCTCATTGGGTGCTCGGCCGACATCATCACGACGCTCCAAGGGGTCCGTGGCGTCCTGCAGCACAAGCCGGTGCTCACCTATGACTTCATCTCGAGCTTGGAGCGCCGACGTGGGCTTCTCGGTATCGGCGTCGCCACCGCGTACCCTGCCGCCATCTTTATCGATGTTGGCCGGCTCTATGACGCGTCGTCGACATATGGTGAAGTGGTGTGGTTTTGCGCCGTCGTCGTCGTCGCCATGCTCTTTGCGTGGGGTATATTGTGGCTTAGCTTTTTTGTCTCGTCGATTCCGAGTCCACGCGCACTGCTGCGCTATCGACTCGTACCCAGTTCTGCTTCGGTGCTCTTGTACGCCGGGCTTCTCGCCCTCTTCTTTGATCTGCTACCTCGGCACGACACAATGTACAAAGATATGCTGGCCTCTGTATCCAACATCCTCACATTGCACTTGGACGGGCAAGACTGTGCATGCGGTGCGTATGCTACCGCTGCGATTCCGCCTGCGATCAATGGTGTATTACCCGCCATCTTTGGATGGCTCGCGGTTTGCTATATTGCGAGTGTGGTCTATGGCGTCTGCAAGTTGCGGTTCTTTAGTGACAAGTGGCTTCTTGACGCCAACTGGACCAAAGACAATGTCTTCATCAAGGTCTGTGGCGCTCCGCACTGGACGACAACGCTGCCGTTCGATGCCGCTGACACGGTGCGCATTGGCCATCGACTCTTTTGCAAGCCGAGCATGGTAGCCCGCTTGGGCTTTGTCGCGTTGGCGGCTAAGCCAGCGACCCGCCGCGTGCTCACGGAAGCTGCTGCAAAAAACGACGACGACGGGGTCTTGTGCCTCGTGAGCGTCTACGACTTCCTTGCAGCGCTCTTGCCGCCCCGCTGGAGACCGTATGCACCCAAGATCCTCGGGCAAATCAAAAGCAACGACATTCAGCCGCCCAGTTCCTGTCGCCTTGCGCCGTCCAAGCAGTTTACCTTTACGCGTGGGTCATGTGTCGGGTAAACTCGATAATGTGATGGTAAACTTGCGTTAAACACTTTTGGGACACAAAAGCAGCCTACGAACCCAGTAGCTCTAATATAGCACTGGTGCGAGGTTGGTGTCGTGTATGTCGCTCCGGGTTGAGCTCTGCGGACCTGGCATCGTGGGTCGTACTGCCCTACGCCCCGCGATTCGAGTCGGTAGGCCTCGCTATACAGCGTCTTGCGCTAGGTAGACAGGTTGTAGACCGCAAGCAAGAATATACCTTCTTGGTCATAAGTGCAGCCTGCAGCCGCGCCAGGAGAGAATGTCATTGCACGTCGCTCGCCCGCACCGCGCCGCTTGGCCCGATGCATTGTTGCTGAAACCCCGTTATCCGGATGGATTCGGATAAAACGCCTGTGGATTGGCTCGTTAGATCTTGAATGGGCCAATCGTTGCCGCGGATTCCGAGCGCTCCAATACGAATGGTTGGTTGAACGGGCCGATTGGTGCAATTTCGGCGAATGTCATTTTCGTATACTTGAAGATGGCGAAGAAGGGCTCGAAGAAGGCCAAGGACAGCCTTGCGGTCGTCGGCCGCAGCGTCTCCAAGCTCGTGAGCGCCGAAGCCGCGAGCGAGATGGAGATCCTCCACACGCCTGTCATGTCGGCGCGCCGCGACGACGACTCGCATGACGATGATGACGACGAGGATGAGGAAGACGACGAAGAGGAGATTGAGCGCCGCCTTGTCGAGGAGATGCAGTCCAAGGCGGCCGCGGAAACCTCGGCCATCTACAACAAGGACGCGATGCTGCGCCTTGCCAACGACCTCGACCTCAAGCAAAAGTTTGCGTGGACCGAAACCCTCGACACGTGCAAGGTGCCGCTGGAGCTCTCGAACGCCCACGACGACCTCAAGCGCGAAGTCGCCTTCTACAACCAGACGCTTGCGTCGGTCAAGGACGCCAAGGCGCGCCTCCTCAAGGAGAAGCTGCCGTACAAGCGCCCGGACGACTACTTTGCTGAGATGCTCAAGTCGGACGCGCATATGGCTCGTGTCAAGGACAAGCTCATTTACGAGCAAAAGAAGATTGCGGCCGTCGAAGAGCGCAAGAAGTCGCAGGCCCACAAGAAGGTGGCGAAGGAGCTCCAGACGCAGAAGACCAAGCAGCGCCTCCAGGAGAAGAACGACACGCTCGACGCGGTCAAGCAGTGGAAGAAGCGGAAAAACACCAACAACTCGGGCGGTACTGTTGTCGAAGACGACGATGGCAGCTTTGACAAGATGCTCGACGGCGCCGCCAACAAGCGCAAGCGCGACGGCGACGACGGCCGTGACGCCAAGCGCCCCAAGGTCAACAAGAAGCGCGAGGTGGCCAACAAGAAGTGGGGCTCGGGTGGCAAGACCCGCGCCGACAAGAAAAACTCGAAAAAGTCGACCAACGACATGTCGTCCTTTAGCCGCTCGCGCAACAACGAGGGCGTCGGCAAGCGGAACGCAGCGCCCAAGGGCGGGAAGCGACCCGGCAAGATGGCGCGGTCCAAGACCAACCAAAAGCGCGGCCGCAACTAAAGCTCCGATTCACACATCGGCGCGTGGCTGCATATAACTTTAAATATATCCTCTATTCCACAAGTAGCTCGAGGATGGACGACCAGCTTCGTGCAACAGGGAAATAAGTCAAAGGACTACATTGGACTGCAGCATTGAGCTCTGGTAATCTAGGAAATATAGCGCTAAAACTCTGCCACGCAAGTGCTCGCTTGGTGTCGAGGTAGAAGGACGGTGCCACTGCCGCAACGGACGAGATGCAGAAGCCTCCAGGTACGGTCGCGGATCTTGTGTTCTAGGCGTATAAGTCCACGGGAGACTTGCTCGCAAATGGAGAGCTGTCGCCACAGTGGTCGCTGACTAGACGCTGTAGCCCGGGAGGACCGTAATCAAGGTTGATATTGGAATCGCAACATTGCAAGCCATCTCCTCAAGGCCTCACCTGGCGGCCAACGTATCTCGTTGATATCCTCTCTAGTACCGAATACGAGACGCAAAGGCCTCGTGGCGGCTTGGGCCTGCAGTGAAAGCGTATTTGATGCAAAGGCGCTCCCGAAATGTCCCCAAGATTGCCTTTTCGGCGGCGCAGCACCGCACGATAGAAACAGCTGTTGTGGTCCACGTGGCACATTTGTCATCTCCTCCACACTAGACCCAAAAATACTAGTAGTACATGAATGCGCCGAGACACGGCTCACACCTCTTCTTCCCGAGAAGGAAACTTGCAAAATGTGGTGTGGACGGCGGTCATTACAGATGGATGTTATGAAAGCCGCGGAAAGCCAGTCGGCGTACCCACATCGCGCTGGTCGAATCGCTCTTCTACTACGCATGTCCTGCAAGTCACCGCTTTGGAATCAACGTGCGAGTCCATATTTGTTGGAGAAGAGCAATGTGTCCAAGGACAAACTATCGTCGCAGCCTACTCGTACCTTGGTCATGGACCTCGCTCGCATTTCTCGGACATGCATTCCATATTGAAAACACTGTCATTCGAGTCCCCAAAACCATTCGATTCATCGACTGTATGGTAGCATACTGGGCAGCAGCAGAACCACGTCCGTCTCTTGCGTCGTTCGACAGGCGCAGCAGGGTACCGAATACATATAGAGAATGTATCGACTGCAACACGGGCTGGCATAGGGGCAGCACGCGTAAACTGGCTTCTACAGTTACACCAATCATTGCGCGCGTGCGACGGCGGTCCGTAACGCCGGCGTGATCGTCTTGCCCAGGGTGGCTCATTTCTCATTTGCATTTGTCTGATGCTTCTCTCCAGCGTGCTTGCTTTTGCAGCGGCTACGTCCGTAGCCGCGCAGTCGGCCCTCGGCACCCCCGCGACGGCCAACAGCACGGCGTCGACGGGCGCCGGGTGGCTCAACCCGCTCGTCATCAAGGGCTACAAGTTCTTTGACGGCGTCACGGGCGCCGAGTTCCGCATTAAGGGCATTAGCTTCTACCCGCGCGCCAACACGGGCAAGAACTTTGACGCCAACTCGGTCGACTGGTTCACGGACGAGATGGAGTCGATTTGGCGGCCGCAGCTCGCGCAACTCAAGGCGCTCGGCGTCAACACCTTGCGCATGTACGCGGTGGACCCGACCAAATCCCACGACAAGTTTATGTGCGAGCTCAGCAAAATGGGCATCTACGTGTTTGTGGGCATGTCGGCTGTGTACGTCCTCCCCTATTTCCTAGTCTGTTGAACTAAAATCTCATATTTGTAGTTGCCCTGGCTGCTACATTCTCGATGAGCCCGCGCCGACGTGCTACTCGCCGGAAATTTTTACGCGCGCCCAAATGATCTACAACGCGTTTGCAGTCTACGACAACGTGCTCGTACGTTGTTACTTGTGTTATCGTGTCGGGTATAAACGCCATGTTTGTGGTTAGGGTTTCAGTGTCGGCAATGAAAACAACTTGGGCAAGAAGATTGAAAAATCGGCGCCGTGCGTCAAGGCCCTCATTCGCGACGTTCGTGCGTACGGCGACACGTGCGCGGGCTCGGTGCGTCAGGTGCCGATCGGTCTCGACAACGCCGACATTGACACGCCGTCGCACCCGCGTGCGTCCTGGCTCGGCTACTACGACTGTCTCAAGAACAACGACGAAAACACCCGTGCCGAATGGTATAGTTCGATCGGCTCTATAGCTCTAGACTAGACGCTGACGCAATATTGTCGATAGGATCGGCTTCAACCCGTACGTCGAGTGCGACCCGACTACGCACATGTCGTACGCCGACTCCAAGGGTCTGCAAAAGCTTGTGGGGGACTACAAGAAGGCGGGCTACTCGCGTCCGATCGTCTTTGGCGAGTTTGGTTGCATCGATATCACCAACACGATCGACAACATTGAGCAGCAGCGCACCTTTTTGGACGTAAGCATGTCTACGACGTTCGACGTGACGCTCAATGGACCCGATAGGCAAAATGGATGAACGAAGAAGCTGAGATGACCGAGTACGTCTCGGGCGGCAACGCGTTCGAGTACAGCGTCGAGAAGGCCAACCTCATCGACAAGACGGGTGTGTTCTCCCTAGTCTTTTCTACACATGTCTCATCGCTGTCAATAGCGACACCGCCGTATGCCAAGAAGGACGCCGGTCGGTATGGTATCGGGTACTTTACGCCCGACAACTGCGACCACGAGACAATCCCGTGCGTCTACAAGAAGTACCCCGAGTTCGACAACCTTGCGAAAGCGTACGCTGGAACCAAGCCGTCGACTATCAAGAAGGACGCGTTCACGCCGGCGCGGTCGACGGTGATGACGTGCCCGGCCGACTTTCCGACCGTCGACTTGCCGCCGACGCCCAAGGGTACTCCTTCCTTGGTAGATACATCTCTCACGCGATGCTAGTTCCGATCCTCGGCTGCTCAAACGCACAACCTGTGTGCAACGGCGGCGCCTCCAACAAGAAAAAGTTGACCCTCGAAGTGGCGACGGCCGCCCCCAAGAAGAAGCTTGTGAGCGGCGCGTCCGGCGGCAGCTCCAACGGGAAGGACGGCAACTCGACGACGACGGGCGAAAACGCGGCGGCGACGACGTCTGTTGCGCTGCTCTCGGTCGCCATTGCCACCTTTTTCGCGATCGTAGCGTAGAAATTCCAGTGTATCACGCGGATGGACAAGTTGTCTTATGTTTTCCAGACGGATTCGCCCGTTATCGTGTTGTAATAGTACAATTGACCACTCTGCGGGTCGTAAATCTCTTGCCACGGGTCGGTGGCGTCACTAGGCGCTGACGTGTCGTACGCGCCGCCGTTCGTAGTATCATAGCCGGCTTGCAGATCGTAGTCGGCTTGGTAATCGTAGCCAGCTTGGTGATCGTAGCCAGCTTGGTGATCGTAGCCAGCTTGGTGATCGTAGCCGGCTTGCTGATCGTAGTCGGCTTGCTGATCGTAGCCGGCTTGCTGATCGTAGCCGGCTTGCTGATCGTAGCCAGCTTGGTGACCGTACGCGGCTGGTTGATCGTAAGCGGCACCGTAGCCACCTTGCTGGTCGTAGCCGGCTTGCTGGGCATAGCTCTGAGTCAAGTCGTAGCTGGCGGCAGCGTAGTCGTCGTACGATGTTGCAGCGTACGCCAAGGGTGTCTCCAGCGCAGTCGCTTGCGTCGCTGGTTGCGCTTCATAGTGTGCCCCACCATAGGACGAATCACCGAACGATGTTGGTTCGTACGCAGCATGGCTGTCGTACAAGACGGATCCGTCCATCAATGGGGCAGCCGCGTAGAGATCAGCGTAGCTTGGTTCGTAGCCGTCAACTGTCGTAGCACCGCTCACCGAGTACTCGCCGCTGGGGTAACTTGCAGTGGCGCCGTAGCCACTATTCGACGCATCGTACGCAGCAGTCACCTCTTGGCCGTACACCTCGGACGCTGCTGCGTAGTAGCCACCGCCATTGCTCGTTGCAGCCGCGTCGTACGTGGGCTGTGTAAAGTCATAATATGCGGGGTCCGTGTCCGAGCTGTACGCGCCGTAGTTGTCGGTCGTCTGCTGATAGTACGCTGCCTCGGTGTAGGCGGTACTGGCATCGTAAATCCCTTGAGTGGCACCCTCATATGCATCCACATGACTATCTGCGTGGACATCGGCTGGGTAGCTTGACGTGCCGTCAGCATATGTGCCAGCAAAACCACTTGATGCGTCGTGCGACGGGTCGTAGCTGGTGTGGCCTTCAGCAGTAGCAGCCTCCGGCGGCGGGTCGTCTTCGTCGTCGTCCTTACTCTCCAGTGGCGCGAGCCCTTCCAGCTCGGCAAAGGACGCCAAGCGCACTGCCGCCGCCACGGCCGTCATCGAGATGCTTGATCGCCGTCGACCGGCGCTAATCACCGACCGCCGGCGCTCGCTCCTCTTGTCGAGGTCAAGCTGCTCGGCTTGCTCTTCGTTGCGAATTTCTAGTGCGACTTTTTTGCGCAGCGCGGCGCCTTGTACCGACTTGGCCATTTTGTTAAGGGACTTGCCCAAGAACGAGTCTTCGTCGACGCGGTGGGCGAGGGACTGCACTTTGGTACCGAGGCTCGCCACTACCACACCAGCTTCTAGCAGCCAAGAAAGCGGAGTACCAGACGTACGTGCATTCGCGACGTGAACGTCTGGGACGGCCTTGTGCAGTTTGGCCAAACCGGTTTTCTTTTGCCTAGATCGGAGTGTGTCTGGTGAGCTGTTTTGATGATTCCATGCAAACATGTCTTTGAGATTGGTGGGAAATTGCGTCGAGAACTCGATTGCGTAATACGGGGACCGCACCGCGCTCTCAGGGCGAAATGGCGTGTGAAGCGCAATACTAGCTTCGAGCATGGCTTCGGAAGCGTGGATGTAGCACACGTGGTCTTGGATTCTAGCCCGAAATGCTAAACGCAGCGAGATCACAGTGCGACGCACCGCAACGCTTGGCCATTCACGACCCAGCCACGTACGTCCTCGCTCGTCTCAAGGAGCGTGCTGCCCTAAACAAGGCATCTCGCTTCTCGTCCAAGCATCTGGCTCAAGATCCGTACAGTGGCAACCGACGCATGCCCGGGTAGTAGGACGCCGAGGAAGAGGTATTCGTCGAGCGGCACTTGGAGTTTTCGAATCCGCGCAAGAATCTGTCGACACCAGCGTGGACACTCTGTCGAAAAAGCCTCCACAAACCTTGTGGCGCGTGTAGACGTTGAGACGGCGCAGCACTTGGTGGGCCGGCGTGTCGGTCTCGAGGAACCCGGCCTTTCCAAAGATGTCCTTGACCGCAAACCCGAGTGTCCGTTGTTTCTAAGACAATATTGTTCATCGCTCGACCGTGGGTGTCGTCCCTCACCTTGCGGTCGCGCTGGCGTTTGGCCCACTCAGCTTGCTTGGCCGTGGCCAACGAAAGAAGTTTTTCGAACCCTTTTTGGTGCGCCAGCTACAAGACAGTGGTGTATACATTCCATCATCAATCCAAGGAGAATCGTATACCTTGCGCCGCCAGTTGCGCTGGATGCGCAGTGCGCCCTGAAGACGCCGTGCTTCCAGGTCGCGCTGGTCGTGCATGCGCTTTTGCTCGGCTTCGAGCTTTTCGCGTCGGTCGATATGCACGCGGTTCATTGCGTCGTCGAGCGAGAACGGCATGAACGGGATCGTCTAGACAAGTTATCCATTCTCATTTCCATTTCCTAGGTTGAAATAAAGCAAAAGGACATACCTCGAGTCGACAGAGCTCGGGCGGGTGGGCGTGGGCGCACGACAGGCACAGCTTGACGTCGTGTGTGAGGCACTGCACGCGCACCGCACGCACTTGCTTGCAGTCGGGACAAAGCGGGACAAGCGGGTCGGCCCTAGTCGATATATCATATCACGTAGACCGAAAATCTTTCGGTCTACGTGTGAAATGCGAGATTGCCCTTTTGATGGACATAATGCATGCAGTTGTCGCAATAGTCGGCGTTGCATTGGTGGCAGTGGCGCGTTCCGACCTGTTGTGCTCAGCAATCATCAAGTGGGCACCAAGTACCTGGAACTTGCAGAGACTGCAGCCTTGGACAGGAAAGTGAATGTGGGACGCCATCTTGCCTTTGGCATGCAGCTGCGCGTAGCACGATGCGCAGTACATGTCTTCGCAGTGAAAGCACGACTCGGCGATCGGGTTGATCTAACAATATTATTGAACACGCATAGACAATATTCCGACCACAAACGTTGCAGTTGGTGCAGCGGATCGAATACTCGGTATCTGCATCGGCCATTGGAATCACGTCCGTGTCGACGTCGCCTTTGCCGAGCAAGCGCGGCTTGGTCCACGTCGAGTAGCCCGTGCGTGGGTTGGTCCAGTACGGAAGCCCCGTCGCGGCGTCAATGTACTTGCGAAACACCTAATTTCGTTCGCCCACTGCAAACTTTGTGAATAGAAGAGTGTACCGCGCGCACAAGAGACCGCAGATAGCTCTGTGACGCCCGCCGTCGCCACGCCCGTTGAATGGTCACCGCCGCCTCCGACACCAGTCGTTGCTACCGCCGCGATTCCGTGACGCGATATACGGCGTCGGTTGTACCTGCCACTCGACGCGCTTGATGTGCAAGAGAGCGTTGCCACGATCTCGGTCTCGCGCTCGTCGGGCGAGGCGCTGGATCCGCCGCGCAGCATGTTCGAGCCACTGGTTGACGTATAGAACGAGCTGGTCCGCAGCTAGTCAGCACATCATACAGCGACACATGATGTCCTTCGATGACGTACCTTTGTACTTGGTTGCCCATTTGCCGCTGTTGATGTGCTTGGTCACGAGTGTGAGCAAGCGTGCGTCGGGCGAGAGATCTTCTTTTTTCGACTTGATTTCGAGTATTGCCATGTCCTTGAGCGCCGCCGTAAACATCGCGTACGAGAGTGAGATGCGCGACTGACTCGGGTGCTCCTTGAGGCGACCGAGGACCTTATCAGCGTCCGACGACATGTCCATGTGCCGTGACGTATTGGGGAACGCGTCTCGAAACACTTTGAGAAACTTCGACCGGTCCAGTCGCAGCTGCTGGAGCTCTTTCAACGGCATCGAGCTCAAGTGTTCGCGCTTGAGGCCGTTGTAGTCGAGGAAGAGCAGCTGAAGTAGTGGAAACGAAACCTGTTGCGGCGTAAAGCCGCTCCCGCTGCTCAGCCACGCCGGGTATATCTACACCCAATTTTTGAGTTTGAGATTGCATTTTGGCACAACGTCATCTCAAAAACACGTACGAGAACGTCACCGATGGCGCCTTCAAGCGACTTGAAGATCAAATACTCGACGGCGGCTTGGCGACAGCACTGAAGCGAGGCAGCACATACGAGGTGCGTCTCGTGGCGACGGCGCACCGTGTCACGAAGCCGGTGCATCTAGACACCACTATGGTTGTCACGTCCCATAGTGTCAATGTATACATAGCGCATGGCGAGCCAGGGTCGCACGAGACGCTGGAGCGTTGTGGCACAGCGCCGAGCACAAGCCATCTCGGCCAGTGCGAGTTTTGCCAGTCGCCGGCCGCGGATACCTCGAAACTAGACAGCGTCGTTCGCTTCAAACACGCAATTCATTGAAAAATGGACCTTGCGCTGGATACGTCGGGCTGCCAGCGTGCGTCGCCGGTGCCGGCGCGCACGCCACTTGGCCACGGCGTTGCGCGTGACCTTGTCGAGCCAGAGGTATTTCACTTGCTTGCGCGCTCGGCGGCCGCGCCACAGCTTCTGGATGCGCGTCGCATGGGCAAAGAGCGCCGTCTTGCGCAGCTGCAAGAATTCGATTTGCGCGTACAGTGTCTTCAAGTATTTCTTGTAGCGAAGTCGCGCACAGCGCCAGGCGCGCTGGATGATGACGGCGGCGTGTCGACGCCGATCCGAGGCTCTCGCCGCCGCGCTCGACGCTGACAAAAATGACGTGAGCGCGCCGCGTGCGCGGTTTTGCGCCTTTTGGAGCCCGCGCGACACGAGCGCGAGCGGCTGGGCCCGGCGCTTGGCATAGGCCTCGACCCGCATCAAGCGTGCTTGCTTCCGCCGGACGAGGCGATTCAATTGCCACTTGCGCCGTAGAATCCACGTACTGATCACACGCTGGAGCAGTCGTGCAGCGGCCATGCGCGCCGGAAGGGAAGCCAGCAGGCCTAACTTGCGCCTCTTGTAGTTGCGGTACACCACGTATGAGGCGAGCGCTTGCGTGAGAAACATCATGGCCGCCTCTTGGCGTACGGTCGCGCGGTACCGACGACCCGCGCGCCGACAAAGCCAAGCCCGTGCACAGGTTTGAATCCGGAACGCCGCGCCGTGGGACTCGAACCGGTTGGCGATCGCGAGTGTCGGGTCGCAGAGCTTGGCCACGATCGCGGCGCGCTTCTTGTGTAGCGCTGCGCGGGCGGCGTCGCACCGACCGCGGCGGCCGCGGAAGACGCGCTGGATGGTGGTAGCGGCCGCGTGGCGCCGGACGTCGGCGAGCATGGCGGCGAAGCGAAGTGCGCGGGCTTTCTGATAGAGCACGAGGTGCTGGATGACGCGGGCAGCGGCATGCTTGGCGGCCGCCTCGGCGTGCCGCCGGCGTAAGCCGTTGTGTCGAAATGTCATTTGTATCGTAAGCGCCGACACGCGGCGGTGCGCGATGCGTTGGTCGAGCACTGCCGCCGTCGCGGCGTGGAGCGCGGCATACGTTGCGCGCAGCTGGACACAGGCCCGCCGGGCGCGGTGCCCGCGGTAGACGCGGCTAAGGACCCGCACGGCCGCATCTCGTTCCTGTTCCCGAGATAATGCTACAAAGGTCATCCAGTGGTGCCATGCGTCGTCGTAAAAGTGCAACAAGAAGGTCTCGAACGCTCGCTTGATGATGGCGCCAGCTTTCGACTGGCAGAGCGCGGCGAGGTTGCGCTCCATGAGGAACGACAGCGGAAGGAGCGTCTCGGCGTCGTGAAGCGCCGTGTCGACGTCGATCTCAGCCGCGCGAACCTCGTCGGCCTGGTGATGGCGCGCCGAGGTCAGCGCTTTTTGCAGCTTTTGGTCGAGAAGACGCGCTTTGGGCGGCGATGCCACCGGCGCTGGCAGCGGGAGTACTGATAAATTGGCTTTTCGGTTGAGCTCGTACGACATGACAGTGTGCAATCGCTCGCGCCGGTCGTGGAGCGACTCGGGCCGGGGCTGCGGTTGTGCTGGCCGTTGTTGCCGCGGTGGCTTCTTGGCCGGTAGTTTCTTGGTCCTGGATTTGCGCAGAAGCGTGTAAATATCATCCGCCTTGGTAGGTACGCCACTCGACGACGGCGCCAAGCGCTCGAGGAAGCGCTCGTTCGTGTCGTGGCCGGCCTCGATGCTGCGCAGATGCGCCAGGAGCTTCTGCATCTCCATCGTGGCGACCGCAAAAGATACGAGGTTTGACGACGCGTGCTTCTGATTCGTTGAAATGTGGCGATATATCGCATATTCATTGGCTGAAACGTTGCAAATGCAATCTTTTTAGCGAATGCAATGGCGCTAGCGTGTGTGGCACGGTTTTATACTGCGTTGGTATGGTTCACGCGTTGGATTGGTCGATAAGCGGGAAATAATTTAGGATCGAGAATTGGATTGGCCGAATCGGTGTGCTTTTGGCCAATGGCATCGATGTATTTCTGACCCCATCTTCACTGGTGTTCTCAATTCATTTCGAGCACGATGGCGCAACAGCAGAAGGTCCTGAGCTTGTACCGCACGATGCTGCGCCAGGCCGCCCAGTACGAGGTGCGATCTGCCAGCATAATCGGTCCTCTCATGCCTCTTCTGTAGAACTACACGTTCCGCTCGTACGCCCAGCGCCGCATCAAGTCCGACTTCCACGCCAAGAAGAGCGCCGCCGGCGCCGAGGCCGAGGCCGCCTTGGCGTTTGGCCACGACCAGCTCGCGATCCTCCGGCGACAGGTTGCCATCAGCAAGCTGTACCCTGGTGAGAAGTCCGTCATGGAAGGTGTCCGCAACTAATAACCTAAATCACATCACGCGTCTTGTCCGTGACCCTGCCGCACCTATCGCGCCCTGTGATTGCACGTCTGGCACCATTATAGCTCCAGTGTGCTAACACTAGGCAATACCGGTCTTGAAGCATCGATCGTACATCCGTCTTGACGGGCCGACTGGCACGGCCGCATGTCGCCGAGCTCACCGTACGACGACTGCGAACGATCAAGAGCAATCACCGTCGATGTGGCCGCGCGGTTGGCGTCAGTTGTCGAGCTGCAAGCGCCGCTTTGTCCAGGCACACGCGTCTGCATAGGCGCCGCCGTGTTGCCGCCCATTTGGCCCGTGAGCCAATAAGTACTTGTCCTTAATCCACGTCCAGCACCTCGGGCGTGGGGAAATGCACAGTAGACTGGGCGGACCGCTGGACTATGTTCGCGTTGAGATATATAAATTCTTGACGTAGACGCCTGGCATCGAGCTGCATCGCAGGTGGTCAATATGACGTACCATTGCGCCCGACGTCCACGGTCGCAACAGGCGGCATCGTCACTCGATACCTGTTAACTAATGCGAGCTGCGAACCATCGATTTTCAGAGCAAAAACCCAATTTTTAGACCAACGTGACGCTGTGTACTTGAGTGCGTTCCCGCCGTGACGTACTCGGTCAACTCGCGCGACTCGATCCTCCATTTCTCCTCACTGGATGCAAGAATGGCGGGTCGAGCCTCTGCCTGACCGTGATACAGTAATACCTAGAAATGTCTTCCGCCGCCCTCCCTGTATGTCCACAGGCAGTCACATCTTTAAAGAGTAATCCATTCGGCGTGCGTAGCACTCGACTTGTCGGGGAGGTAGCTATGGGCTTGCGTTTGTGGACGAACGTTTGAGCTGAGTGCAGGCCACCACGCTGCCACGTCATATACTATTTTTAGCCAATCCGATGCGTAATGGCGATGGAACAAGCGTTGATTGGAGGACATTCCGCTTTTGAAGTTTACATTTCAAAGAAAGCCATCTTAGACAAATGCGCGTCGTGAACGGGTCCATCAACCACAGCATCGCCGCGCACGAAGCCGCGATGCGAAAATACCGAGCAGCCAAGACGTTTGCCTACTCGGACAAGGTGTCCAATGACACGTTGCCCGAGCTCCGCGTCGAGGGCGTCGACGGCATCCTGCAATGGCCTCTGCCGCCAGCACAAGAGCAACAGCTCTTCGCGCGCTACACTGCTGTCAACGGTAGCATCTCAGTTCCGCTGGAAGACACAGATACCGGCTACGAAGACGAGAGTCCGTGGCAAGACTATTTGTACGACCAGATTGTCGACACCGTCGACCTCGGGCTGGGGCTCACGACGACGAGTCTCCAGGTGTACTTTTCGCATTTGTGTCTCGACACGAAGGGCTCGGTGGACGCGTTCACACCCCATTACATTGACGCAGAGTCCTTTGACAGGACTCTCTTTGGCACACTCGTGCTTGTGCTGCCTTCTCCATACAATGGTGGCAAGATCACGGTGTCGTACGATGGCGCGTCCACGTTGGTGCAGTTGAAGCCGCTCAAAAAGGCAATGCGCTTTTTGGCTACGTACCGAAACACGACAATGTCATCCGCGCCCATCACGTCTGGCTACCGCGCCGCGCTCGTATATCACTTGGTCGGGATGCACCTTCCGCTCAACGACACGTCGCTCCTCCCGGTGCCGCGGCACGAGACCATTTCTGCGTTTGCAACGATCGCAACGACGCCGCTGCCATTCTTTCAACGCATTGCTCGCCCGATTCCATACGCACTGTCAGCGCTTACCTTTGACGCGTTGACGCCAGCGGACGCGGACTTTGTTGGTATCCTCGTCGCCACGCAGCGCTACGACGTCACGCTTGTGCAGTTGAAGGTGGATTTCCTTTCGTCTATCTCCGACACTGGAATTATCAATGAAGTGACCGCGTGCGTGCCACACCCGTCGTGCCGCATCCCCAAGGTTGTTCGGGAGCGTTTGCTTGGAAATAGCGCCAGCGCCTTTCTTCGCGACCGCCCCATTCCACCCGGTGACGACGAAGACAGCGATGGGTGTCCGTTTACCGCGATTCTCTTTTGGCCCAAGGCCTGTCGCGTCGGCATCGTGGGAGTCGACGTCGCCCTCCCGCTACTCGAGAAAGCGATTTTGAAGCCAAAAGCCAACAAGCTCGGTCTCGACAGTGCCGACGACCTTGTTCGCGGTGCCATTGGTCTCTTCCGAAGCATGTCGCGCCAGCACGTTTTGGGCAAATTGCCGTTCAAGTACGTCGTCATGATGACCGACGCCTTGGTTGATAGCAACAACGTCACCATGGCGGAGCTCTTTCTTAGCGAGGCGGTCTCGGTCTATGGTCGACTCGACCACTATGCGGCAACCTACATGATCCACTTGTGCTTACTCGAGTACGGGTGGCCAGCTCTGCAGAAGGCGATGTTGCGGCTCATCCAACGCTGGGTCATAGTCAGTGTGGGCTCGATCGCTCGACTCTTGGCTAATTTGGCGGGGGCCACCAGCGACAGCAAGGTCACCCCACTGCAGCAGCCGTTTGTTTGTGAATTCTTCAAGCGCTGCTGGCACGAGGTACTCGTGCACCAACGCACATGGCTGACCTGGACGATCGACGAGAACATGCTTCTCATGGACTGGTATCTTCACGACATGGCGCCGTTGGATGCGAACGGCCACTGGCTGGGCCAGAAGCTGCCGCCGGCGCTCGTGTCGGTTGTCGACAGCTTCCTCTACAAGCACCGCCATGGGGTGTACACACTGCTATCACTGGGAAAAGGCACTGCTTGGCGACTCGACGTCCTGCCCGACCTTCTTCTCAAGGCGGTCGCGCTGCAACCGGCGCTGGTTCAAAAGCCGTATCTGAATGTCATTACGACGGATGTCGACGGACACGTGCTCGGTGACTTCTTCGATACGTCAAGCCTCCAAAGTGGCTTCAGTCTCTTGCGCGTCATGGACCAAATTGGCCGCTGCGACGAGCGACTCATGGAGAAGGTGGCGCTGCTCGCTGGCTTCAAAGTCGTGATTGCCGTCTCGTGGCTCGTCACAAACCAGTTGACGATCGCGCCGTCGACGCGCGATTCGGCCATCGTCTTCTTGGACACTTGTGCCGTCGGGCTCATCGAAAATGCAAAATATGAGGAAGCCATACCCGATGTCATTGTGCTTCTCGTCATGGCAACCGTCAAGGCGTTCAACGTCATTGCTCCCGAGAAGTTCCCGAGTTTTCTCATGAAATGGCTTCCAACAATGCCGCCGACCCGCATTGCGAACCGCTTGCAGCTCTTCCCCATCATTGTGCAAGTGGCGGCCATGTTCCCCGACCGCTTCCGCGACACGATTGTCGACCTCGCAACACAGTGCCGCGCGACCTTTCTGGGCGACGCAGATCGGACGGCGCCACCAGGAGAGCGATCGGAGTCCGAGGCGCTTGCCATTGTGGACGCACACTTTTTCAAAGACAGAGATTTAACGTCGGTTGCGACGTTGGACGCTTTGCTTGCGCCAACTCCAACGACGCCTCCACCCAAAGGCGGCAAAAGCAAGTCGCGCAAGCGCCGCCGGCGCAAGGACTCCAATGCATAGCCAATTCATCGACGACGTGTATAATTAACATGCAAATTTAGTTCACATACGACTCGACGTTTGTCCAGTGGTGCCTCCAACTGGGCCGCTACAACGCTATGCATAAATTTGGGCACCAAAGTACCATTTTAGGAAGCGCGCGCTGCTGTTTCGACCCTTTTACGATAGCGAAACGGGCCACTTCGGTCATTTTGACCACATTGCCCGTACATACATGTACATGTATATGTACAACACAGTCGATAGCATGGGTGCCACTTTTCTCTAAATACAGTGTACTTACGAAAGTGACAAATTCTACAAAACTAAAGAGCCGTGTTGTGTACGGGGCCGACGGCTTCAACAATTGACGACCGAGCTGCGCGTTTTGTCCCTGGTGTACAGTGCTCGAATGGATGACGTGGCAGCTCAAACGGATCCGAGGTTGTGTACCATATCCTTTGGCGTCGAAACGAACATAGCAGCGTGGACATTAAATGTATTCAAACCGTTATACATGAGGACACTTTATCGCTTGAGTAAGCGAAGGTTTAAGCAAAGGTATGCAGGAGTCTTAGAGCTGCGCAAGCGCGATCGTGACGCCGAGGCCAAGCGCCAGCGTCGACGTTGTGGGCAGCGATGGTGCCGCGCTCGCGCCATTGCCGCCCGACGCACCGCCGTTGCCGTTGCCGCCAATGTTCTTAAACGTGTTGGACGCACCATTGTTGCACGTGGGCTGTGCGGTCGTGCACTGCAGGATCGGCACTAGACAAAAATGGGAGACTCAGAACTCAGTCGTAGCAAACAAGACGATAACGTACCCGACGGCGTCGGGGGCAAGTCGACCGTCGGAAAGTCGACGGGGCACGTCATCACCGTCGTCCGCGCCGGCGTGAACGCGTCCTTGGTGACGGTCGATGCCTTGGTAGAGTTGTAGGCCAAGGCGAGGTTGTCAAACTCGGGATACTTGTTGTAGACGCACGGGATCGTGTCGTGGTCGCAGTTGTCGGGCGTAAAGTACCCGACACCGTACCGCCCCGCGTCCTTCTTGGCATACGGCGGCGTCGCTGTGATGAGACATGAGTTGTTTTAGCAAAACGAATAGGATTGACATACCCGCCTTGTCGATGAGGTTGGCCTTCTCGACGCTGTACTCGAACGCGTTGCCGCCCGAGACGTACTCTGTCATCTCAGCTTCTTCGTTCATCCATTTTGCCTATCGGGTCCTTTGATGTCGAGTCGAAATTTGAGATGAAAACTTTACCTCCAAGAAGGTGCGCTGCTGCTCAATGTTGTTGATCGTGTTGGTGATAGCGATGCAGCCAAACTCGCCAAAGACGATCGGGCGCGAGTAGCCCGCCTTCTTGTAGTCGCCCACGAGCTTTTGCAGACCCTTGGAGTCGGCATACTTGAGGTGCGTCGTCGGGTCGCACTCGACGTACGGGTTGAAGCCGATCCTATCGACAATCTTGCGTCAGCATTCGGTCTAAGCCAGTATGGAAGATCAAACTGTACCATTCGGCCCGGGTGTTTTCGTCGTTGTTCTTGAGACAGTCGTAGTAGCCGAGCCAGGACGCGCGCGGGTGCGACGGCGTGTCAACGTCTGCGTTGTCGAGACCGATCGGCACTTGGCGTACGGAGCTCGCGCACTTTTGAGCATACGCACGGACATCGCGGATGAGCGCCTTGACGCACGGCGCCGACTTTTCAATCTTTGGGGCCAAGTTGTTTTCATTGCCGACGCTGAAACCCTAACCACAATGATGGCATTCAATACCCGACACGATCAATGAAGCGGCCACATACGAGCACGTTGTCGTAGACTGCAAACGCGTTGTAGATCATTTGGGCGCGCGTAAACATCGCCGGCGAGTAGCATTTCGGGGCTTCTTCGTCCAGGATGTAGCAGCCCTCGCAGCTATAAACAGATGGTTTAGTAAAAGGGACTAGGAAATGCGGGTGGACGTACACGGCCGACATGCCCACAAATGCATACATGCCGAGCTTGTTGAGCTCGCACATAAACTTGTCGTGCGACTTGGACGGATCGACTGCGTACATGCGGACCGTGTTGACGCCAAGCGCTTGGAGCTGCGCGAGCTGCGGGCGCCAGATCGTCTCCATGTCGTCCGAGAACCAGTCGATCGAGTTGGCGTTGAATTTGGTGCCGGCGTTCGCACGCGGGAAGAAGCTCATGCCCTTGATGCGGAACTCGGCGCCCGTCGTGTGCTCGAAAAACTTGTAGCCCTTGATGACGAGCGGGCTCACCCAGCCGGACGCCGGGATCTTGTTTTGCGCAGTCGCCGTCATGGCCGCGAGAAGTGAAAGCGTGCACAAGAGCGTCGGCGCGTGCATGATAGAAGTGTTGATACAAAGGATGTCGATCCGATTGGAAAATGAGCGTTCGAAACCATCGCGTTCGGCGCGCACGCACATCCAGCGTCTGCGCGAAGCCAGTTGCCACCGCATCACCGGTGCCAGATGGCATCTAGTCGAAATATTGGTTTTTCAGATTGCTGATATTGATTTGACTGTAGCTCGTTCGTGTCCTTTTTGTTTATACAATTGCACTTGCATGGCAAGGTTGCGTATGGACCAGCGCTATCAGCTCCTTGGATGATTGATCCAGCTTGACACCAGCTGTTTTTCAAACTGTGGCATTGCTCTCATTAGGACTCTCCACGGTTCGGCTCGGCTCGGCTCGGCTTGAAGCCGCGTGCATGAGAGCATCTCATGCACGCGCGAGTCTGTGGTGGGACACGGCTGCGACTCTATTAACGGGGTTGTCAAGAATTTTGCTGATCGAATTTGCTTGAATTGAACAGACCCAAAATGTCGATTTACGTTTTCGCGATCGTCCCGAAAAGACAAGATATTGCACTCGTTTTTCTTGATGATTTGGGCCCTTTTCAATCGCCAGCTCCGCACGACATGAGCACAGGTCTATATACTAGGTTTACCCCGTGTCACGGCCGACCCGCGCCTGTTTATTTGGGCTTGGTCGCACCCACGGCAAGGTAGCAATGGTAGAATGACTCGGGATGACTGAAAATTCGCACAAGACCGACGTAACAACCTTCTTTGCCAACTGCATGCGACTGTGTACAGTGTACAATGAGCCTTTTAGGATCCAGTGCAAAACCATCGAGCTCAGACTTTGCACTTGGTGTCGACGAACGAGGCGCGATGCTCGAATACTAAACTGCGGTCTCTTGCCATAAGCGCGTCGTCGTTCGCACGAAGTAAAATTGTTATGGCGGCTGCCTAGCGGGTTGTGAGACCCACCGCTCGCACGGAAAGATTGTGTCATTGGTGCATTGCGGATTCGCCCTGGCGTAGCGATATACTGTTCAAGATGTATTGCTTGCCACTAAGATCTTATGCGCTCGTGTCGCTGCGTCGGGCGCGCTTGCGCGACGTCGTCGTCATTCGAGCGAGCAATGCGTTGAGCGTCGCAAGGCACTGCAGATCACCCCGTCGGTTGAGCTTCGCATCGTAATAATCGAAGTCTTCGTCGTCGCGCGACGTCCTATGCTCTGCCATTCCGCGCTTGAACCCGTCGCGGCAGTGGGTTGCGAGATGGAGCACGACATCGCGATGTTTGTCCCGGTACATGGCGGCCATTTCCTCCACCACTGGAAAGAGCTGGTCCCGCGTGAACGTGAGCGACGTCGGTTCATCTGGGAGCCACTGCGTGAAAAAGCTCGCGACCTTCTCGGGGGCGACGGTGTCGAGCGCCTTGACCAACTCGGCCACGATGTTCACAATACAATGGTCCTTTGCGTCCGCATTGACTGCGTCGTCAAGGAACCGCTGCGCCTTGTTGTCCAAATACGCGGCCACACGCTCGCGCGTCACCGCCGACACGGGCGTTTTCGTGACGAGGTATGCAAAGGCGTCAGCTGCGTCTGTGCCGCAGAGCGTCCGAACTTTGTCCATGAGCGCTTCGTCGCAGCGACCGATGCGGTCCATGCAGCTCAAGAGACTGTAGACGCCAGTGAAGCCCAAAGTCGCATAGTAGTCGCCCCTTGTGTGCGCGTCGGCGAGGGTTGCAATCACTTCCAAATACGGTGTTTGAACCAACGCTGGCTGCAGCGCAACTGCCTTGACGAGGAAGGTTGGAAGACATTGCAGTCGCCATTTCGTGTCCATCTCCAGCGACAGCAGTGTGTACACCCCATGGCGGTGCTTGTAGAGGAAGCTGTCGACAACCGACACGAGCGCTGGCGGCAGCTTCTGGCTCAGCCAGTGGCCGTTCACGTGGAACGGCGCAATGTCGTGAAGGTAGCCGTCCATGAGGACAATGTACTCGTCGATCGTCGAGGTCGGCCATGTGGGTTGGTGCACGAGTACCTCGTGCCAAGAGCGCTTGAAGAATTCACAAACAAACGGCTGCTGCAGTGGGGCGACCTTGCTGTTGTTCGTGGCACCCGCCAAGTTCGCCAAGAGCCGAGCGGTCGAGCTCACGTCGTCTTTGACCCAGCGTTGGATGAGCCGCAGCATGGCTGCCTCCAGAGCCAACCACCCGTATTTCGCCAAGCATTTCTCAATCATAACGACCGCTGCGTCAAACTCGAGCCAGCGGGTGACCACGACAACGTCACCAATAAAGAGGTCGGCCATGGCCACGTTGTTGCATCCAACCAAAGCCTCGGCCATCTTTGCCGCGTCCTTGAGGGACAACGTGGCGTTTTTGAGTGACAGCATGCTCTGAACGAGGCCGATCGTACCGCCGACAAGATCATCGGCGCTGTCGAGGCCGAGCTTGTTGGCCTTGGGTCGAGCAACCGCATTCTTGAGCAGCGGCAGCACGAGCTGCGCGCCCACGATGCTGACGCGGCACATCTTGGGCCAAAAGAGGATCGCAGCCGCCGGGCATTCGTCCGGCGATTGGGGAACGTCGTGGAGAAACGCGTGGGCGCTCTTCCCTAGCACATGCTCGACGACGACATTCGGAATTTGGCACGAACGGTGCGGCGCGCAAGCCGCCACAGTGTTGAGAAAGCCCTTCTTTTTCGAGTACGGCAAGGTGCCTTCCGTAAAGCAGACAAGGGCCACGTCATAGCACTTTGTAGCGACGAGAATCGCCACAAAATCAGCGTCCGTCCGACTCAACGATCGAAATGTGAGCTCGTGCATATTGTAACAAAGAGGGCGGGCAATGCGCTCGCAGACTGGTAGCGGCGTCGCCGCAATCGTGGCCAGAGCAGCAATGGTCGCGTGTCGCGGCACGGGCATGAGTGACGTGTCGCCAACAAAGAAGTTCAAACCCACCGAGTGGTACACGAGCGCCGCGCGGTAGCCAGCCGTGATGGGCGCGAATGACATCGTCGTATTTTGGTACGTCGCTAAAAGTGCATGGGCCCCAACTCGATGCTTGTCGACTTGCCGTCGTAGCTGATCGTGAGCGCACCGCCGCTGTACGCCGACGGCAGCAGGAGCACGAGGGTGCCAAAGACGTTGTAGCCATGATTCTCCGCGTCCTCGAGGCTTTCCGCACTCGGAGTGAGCGCGTTCGCAGTGCCGTTCGTGTCGATGCACGCATGAGACAAGCACACGGCAATGTCCGTTGTCGTCATCTCGAGTCGGCTGTCGACAACATCGAGGACGTACGCGTCAAAAACGTCTTTCCACGCATCTTGGTTGGTGATATAGACGTCCGGCGCGGGCACGACAATACTGCCATTGACAGCATAACGCGCGACGAGCTGGGCCATTTGACCTTGCGGCAGCGGCCATTGCAGGATGTAGTCGACGCCCTTGACGCTGAGTTCGGGCAGCGTGCCATGGGGCATCGCGTTCGCGTAAGCCAGTGTCCTGACCGCTCGATACTGGCGCATCGCGGCTTCGTGCGCGGCAACACCGGGGCTGCTCGACCCCTTGACACGAACCATGGGCTGAAATGGCCTTTCTTTGAAATGGATGTTTTATGACTGGACGCTCGGCCAATGAAACCGTTTCTTGCTCAACGCGGATCGGGATTGGCTAAAAAGACCATGACGTGGCAGCCCCAGGGGCGTCCTCGCCGGTGTGCGACACAGACACGGCGATTCTAGCCTCCGCAGAGGCGTTCCTATGTGTACCTTTACACCCCTTCCTGTAGGTTATAACATGCATTGAGATGCTCTACTTCTATTATTGCAAGACGATGTGTGCAACAATGGCGGATGCTTGGTCAACTCAATGATGCTCAACATCTGCAATCGATGGCATTAGATGTTATGCTCAAGGCCCACAGAGCACGCGTTTCTTCATCTCTTGGCGAGCGTCCCAGTCGGGCTCACAGCCGTCTTCGGGCGTCGACCGAAAGCGCAGCTTGAGAATGCCGCTGCGGCGCGGACCCTCGCCTTTGCCCGTGTCGTCAGCATCCCACGACGCTGGCAAGACCCAATTGGCAAGCGGAGGTTCGTTTTTGCCAGGCGCATACGAATAATCGACCCAGTTGTCGCCCTACACATATATATCAATGTCTCCAATGTACAAATGCGTCATCGAATCCAACGACCTCTTCGACGATCGCAAGATGCACGAGGATCTTGGCGACCGCGTAGTCCTCCAAGACGCTTAAATCGAGCTCGTAGTACCGGTCCGGTTTGAGCGGGTTGAGGATGTTGAGCCACCCAAGGTACGTCGCGAGCACTTTTTGCTCGGGCACCGAAAGCGCATCGAAAATGTCGACAAAGTTCTCGGCGTCCATGAGCCGCGAGAAGAGAAGGCGCGCGGCTTCGACGCGGCCAAAGTTGCCGATCGGCATGCTCAGCACAATTCGACTTGCTTGCGCGACGGTCAGGAACCGGTCGCTCGTCACAATCTCAATCTGAATCAGCTTGAGTCGGATTTCCTCTTTGGTGTTTTTGATGCGAAAAATATTCGCTTGTGCAAACGTCGTCAAGTTGAAGAACCGGTCTCTTCGCACCGAGTCCCGAATCTTCTGCCAGCGCATGCGGGCCGGGGACAAAGTGGTCGCCGTGTGCTTGTCGTGCTCCGACATGTCGACATAGTACGTGTCCCGTGCGAGCTCCTTGAGCAGCTGCGTGTAGCGCCGGTCGCTCAGGGCTTGCGCGCCTACCACACAACGCTAAACCGATGACAATGGATATGTTCAATTATACCTGGTGGTGGTCGGCGCGTCGATACATAGTCGAATTCGAGGCGCCCGGCTTGCGGCAGCGAGTCAAAGAACGAGGTCGTGAGCACAATGCGCTGGCCGTCCAGCATTTCGTTGCGATAGTTTTCCCAGTTAGCGTGCTGCGACGTGTCTACACCACATTTTTGGTTCAAACGAAGACAACTTGTCCACGATACCGCCCCGCTGGGACGCGATCGACGCCTTCTTCTCCGACTGCGCGACTTCCACGAGCTTCCTCGCGACCCACCGGTCCGTGTGCGCGCTTAAATCGAGCGAAAAGTGCGCGGTGGGGTTGCCCATGATGACAGTATACGCGTTTCCGAGCTCGAGCTTGAGCTTCGCGCGCTCCCGCAACGAGAGCGCCATTGAGACGAGCCGCTGCGCCTCGCGCGCGGTCAGCATCTGCAGCACGAGGTTTGCAATTTCTTTGACGCGCACGTCCTTGGCGAGACCGCCGCATTGATCGAGGAGCTCGTACGCTTGCGGCGCCGTAAACAAAATCTAGACAAGACACTGTACAACATGTGTTTTTGACCAACCACAAACCTCCGAGTCGTGCACAGCCATGTTGAGAAGATCGAGCTTCTCCGAGGAGCTCTTGGCTTGGCTCTGAATGTTCTTGATAAGCTGGGCAACGCCGCCGTCCGAGAGACCTATCCGCTCATAGTCAGTCGACATGTAGCCAGACCACGGGTCGCAGCCTCGATGCGACACGCGTCGGATGCGAAATGGAGCGTACGGTGGCGGGCGTCGTCCGAGTCGAGCGTCGCCTCTCGTTCGTACACAAAGACCAGCTCGAGCCGGCCTTCTTGCGGCACCTGCCACACTTGGTTGGTCGCAACGTCTCGCAAAGCGAACGCCTGGTCCTTCGCCGGCATGGTCGACTGCCGTCGGACGTACGACTTGATGAATTCAACAAACTCGGGGCCCTCAATCGTGCCGCTGTTGTCGAGGTCGTACTGCGCAATGACGTTGGTGACGTCATGGTCCGTCATGTGAATATCGAGCATCTGTCCAAACCAATACTGTCAACAATTCGACAAGTATGGAATTTTATACCTGCAGCGCCGTCTGGAGCTCGACTGCGTCAATGCCGCCCGACGAATCCGTGTCAATGACGCAAAACAGGGCCGAAAAGAACATGTTGCTAAAGTCGAATTCGTCCAAATTGGCCACCGACGTTGATGGCTGCAGCTGCTTCATGGCCGCCAGAATCGCCTCCAACGTGGGGAGCGTCGGGCGCATGTTGAGCCCGAGAAACACAGCTTGGAGCGCGGCCGTGTCGATGCGCAGCTCTTTCGTCTTCTTCTGTTGCTTGAGCGTAGCGTAAAAGACGTCCAAGGGACTGTGAAAGACGGTCGCCATCGGCGGTGGCACAAGCGTGATCAT